GTGCTCGCTCTCGATCTGTAACTTCGAGAACCCCAAGAGCCTGGTGTGGCATGGAAGGCAGAGAGTCGACGGGCTGGTGAATCAGGCCCCTCGTCCCCCATCTCCTGACCAGCTACGGCGTGCCAGGCCCTGCTTGGTGCTGGTGCCACAGGGGTGAACAGGGACACATCCTCGCCCCGAGGAATGCTGCCAGCCAGCCTAATGGCGAGGGTAGGGAGTAGGAAGGGGTGTCTGGATATGACAAGGGAGAGGCAGGGAGATGCGGGGGGAAAGGAGGACAGGAGGGGAAGGCTATGGGTGTGTGTGTGCTGAATCTTGAGGAAGGAGCAGGCGTTCCCGGGCTCGGAGAAGGGGGTAGACATTCTAGACGGAGGAGGTGGACAGTGCGAAGTGTCGTGTCCTTGGGCCTGCAGATGTTCTGTGGGTCTAGGACCCACCGGTTCAGCCGGCAGAACCCCTGAAACCCGTGGAGGCTCCCAGAAATACCAGGAACTAGGTGTATATGTTAAAATGATTTTTATTGGGAGGGATCTTTTACATGTAATAGCTATTAATAGCATAGCTAAAAATTAACCGAACGTTTACTGTGGACCAGATAACCGTGCTAGGTGCTTTTTAAATATTTTACAAATGGGAAAAGCGAGGCCTATGGAGATTTACTTGCTGAAGTCACATACCTGGTATATGGGCAAGACCAGGGTTCAAATTCGAATTTGTCTAACTACAGAGTCCTTACTAGATATTAACCTCCAGTGCCCCGAACCGCCACGCAGAAGAAAGTGGAGTTCATTCTGAAGAGAGTAAGAAAGAGGCGGAAAAATTTTAAGCACGAGCGACAGGCTCAAAAATATTTATTAAAAAAAAAAAAAGATGCTGTCACACAGACTAGAAGCTTAGTGGCAGGACAGAGAGCGTGGCCCGAATAAATTTAATCCACTAGCTCAGGGCCGGTGAGGGCATCGGTTAAGGCACGGACGATGGATGGACGGACAGACGGACGGACGGACGGATGGGGGGAGGTGATAGAATTGAAAGTCAGAAAGTAGATTTGATAACATTTGGAGATTTGGACAAAGGACAAGGGGAAGGAACTTCTGCCCTGAACAGATGCGGGGTGGTGGGCCACCAGGCAGTTGGAAGTATTGGTGTCGAGCTCAGGCCAGGGGTCTCGCAGGTGATAGCGATCGGGGAGCACTCGTCAGAGGCGGAGATATGGAAAGCGGGGAATCCATAACCTCCCTCGAGTGGCAGGGAGGAAATAGGCAGCCGAGGCCCGCGTGCGCGAAACCAGGATATCAACGGGCCGGGCAGAGAAAGAAGAGAACGTGAGAAGGCCGAGATGGAGACCTGGAGAAGGATAAGGAGGCCCAGGAGCAGGTGTGGACCCAAAGGCCAGTCCTCTCTTCCAAGGAAGCAAAGGTAGTGTCAACAGGGCCACGATCCCACATAGTTCCTCCCCGCAGAGGGGCGCGCGCGCACACAAAACCCGTCCCCACCTCCCCCACGGCAGAATTCAGTCTGAACGAAGCCTGTTTTTCTCTTTCTTAAAAATCCCAGGTTCAGGGGAGACTTTCCCTGCAACCGCGCTAGCCGTGCACAAGCTGGTTATTTACCTTGTCCTCCGTTACCCTTTAACTCTCGACTAGAGGATTTTAGTACGGATACGATTCAATGTTAACACCTGCGTCTTCAGTCGCTCTCTTGTATCGATGCCAGGTCTCCCGAACGAAAGCTCTGAAGGACCGCCGTGCGGGTAGGCCTTCCCAGCGGCAGAACACCAAATTTTATTCTATCGCTGACTAGATAGCGGCAATGCCGCTCGGCTTCTGAGATTCAGACAGGGAGACTTCCTGGCGGCAAGGGGAGGCCCGGACTGCTAAATGGCAGCGGCGTGATCTTGGGGTGGGGTCTGCTCAGTTGCTCCCGGACGAGTCATTCACTTGAGAGCTTCAGACCGTATCTCAGAAAGCCCTGTCTGTCTGTCCCTGCAAGGTTTGCCTTGAGCACAAATGAGGTGGGGGTGGGGGGGTTTAACTCATCTGTACTTAATAATTCAAGGGGGTACAGACCCGGGCCCTTAGATGCGACCTGCGCCGGGGGCCTCGGGCGGCACGTAAGGGTCCGGGCGGAGACCCGGAGGCACGCTCTGGGAATTGCCGTGACCCTGAAAGAGAAACCACGGGGCAGCCTGTAACAGAACGGGCCACAGTCCCCACACTGCCCTCCCCTCTCCTGACACTCCTCAGGACAGGCCACCGGGAGCTCTAAAAGACGCAGAGAAACCGGCACGTCTGGGCAGAGAATCCAGACACGGGTCGAGGCTTTCAGACTCTTAGTGAGTTTGACTCTGTGGACCCGGGCGGGAAACGGTCGGTCGCAGGCCCAGCTCGCGAGTGGTCTCGGTCTCTATACACACCCGCTATCCCCCGGGGCTTTTGACTAGGAACACAGGGTGGGAGGTGTCATCCTATTGGCGAGTGAGGCCCGAAATGACCGACCGTCGAGACGCAGGAACCCCGAAATTTACCCGCCGGGACCGAGGGACCGACTTCCCACCCCCGCCCGACAGCCCTGCGGGGTGGGGGCGGTCGACACGCGCAGGGCGCCGGGACGCGTTCCGGGCCGAGGGCCGCGCGCCCCTAGTGACCGCTCTCGGCATCGGCCCATTGCCGAGCCCGAATTCCCTTCGTCCCCTGGCCGGGAGGTTTTACAGTCCCGGGCCTTGGTCAAAAAGGAGAAGATGGCCCAGAGCCTCCCTCTCCCCGCAACGCTGGCCGAGCTCCCGGACAGGGCAGAGTTGCGCCACGGGAAATCGCACCGCACCTTGACACCGGGTCCTCACCCTATACAGCCCAATGCCCTTCTCCGGCTCCGGCGCCCTCTTCTCGGGGCGTGGGGCCACGGAAACGAAGTGACACAGCTTCTTCCCAGTGCGTTTGTGGGTGGCTCTGAAAAGAGCCTTTGGATGCGATGGAACCTCAAACCGAGCGCGCGCTTTAAGCCCGCTCCCCGCGGATGCGGCGGGCCAGCTGGATGTCCTTGGGCATGATGGTGACGCGCTTGGCGTGGATGGCGCACAGGTTGGTGTCCTCGAACAGCCCCACCAAGTAGGCCTCGCTGGCCTCCTGCAGCGCCATGACGGCCGAGCTCTGGAAGCGCAGGTCGGTCTTGAAGTCCTGCGCGATCTCGCGCACCAGGCGCTGGAAGGGCAGCTTGCGGATCAGCAGCTCCGTGGACTTCTGGTAGCGGCGGATCTCGCGCAGCGCCACCGTGCCGGGCCGGGGGCGGGGGGGGGT